GACCAAATAATATTCCATTATATAGACATACAATATTTTGTTTATCCATTCATCAGTCAATACATATTTGCATGGTTTCTACCTTTTGACTCCTGTAAATAATGCTACTATGAACATTTATCCACATAAGTTTTTATGTAACTATATGTTTCCATTTTTCTTGGAATATAACTAGAAGTAGAATCCTAGGTGAAATGATAATTCTTTGTTTAACCTTTTGAGTAACTGCACACCATTTTTCCAAAGCTGCATACCTCCCAGCAATGTATGAGGTTCTAATTTCTCCACATTCCATCTAACACTAGTTATTGTCTATCTTGGTTAAAAGTCTACCATCTTATAGCTTGCATCCTGAGTATGAAGTAGTAGTATCTCGTGATTTTGATTTGGACTTCTCTGATGGCTTATTTTGTTGAACATCTTTTCATGTGCATATTCATGTGTCATTTGTATATTTGTCCTTAGAAAAATGCCTATTCAGATGCTTAGTTCTTTGTTTAAATTGGCTTTTGTTTTTATTATTGAGTTGTGAGAATTTTTTTATATAGACAAATCTAGGATTTGTAAAAGTTTTCTCCCATTCTGTGAGTTGTCTTTGCTTTCTTTGTGGTGGTTTGTCTTTTATCATCACTTTTTACTCTTTTCTTATTCGTGTCTTTATATTAAAGGTGGATTTTTTGTAGGCAGTATATAATTGAGTTTTAGTTTTTTACTCTAGTCTGAGAATCTATACCTCGTAATTTGTGTTTTTGCCCTTTATATTTTAATAAATATAGATATGGTCAATATAGATATGGTTAAAATTTACCATTTTGTTGTTTCTTCATTGTTTTGGTCCTCTTTCTGCTTTGCTTTCAATTGGTTGAGTATTTTTAAGATTCTGTTTTATCTTTTTGTTGACTTACTTACTATACATTTCATTTTATTTTATTTTATTTTATTTTATTTTTGAGTTAGAGTCTCACTCTGTCACCCAGGCTGGAGTACAGCAGCACTCTCACGGCTACTGCAGGCTCAACTTGCTGGGCTCAGATGATCCTTCCACCTCAGCCTACCAAGTAGCTGGAACTACAGGCATACACCATTATGCCCAGCTAATTTTTCTTGATTTATTGTAGAGATGAGGTCTCGCCAAGTTGCCCATGCTGGTCTTGAATCTGTAGGCTCAGGCATTCCTCTCACCTCAGCCTCCCAAAGTGCTGGTATTACAGGCTTGAGCACTGTGACCAGCCTACATCTTATTTGAGTAGATGCTTTAGAGTTTATATATCTTCAATTTATCCCAGTCTATTTCCAAATAGTATTATACCACTTTATATATAGTTTCAGAACCTTACAGCAATATGTTTGTATTTCCCTTCTTTTGGTCTTGGTGTTATTTTCATCACACATTTTACATCTACTACATTATTAACACCACGTTGGATTTCATTTGTTTAGACAGTAAATTCTCTTTAAGTACATTTAAATAATGAGAAAAACTCTTCTATTTGGTTACATATTTGACATTTTTCCATGTTCATTTTTTTATGCAGATCTAGATTATGATATCATAACCTAGATATCATCTGATATCATTTTCCATCTGTCTGATAGAATTCTTTTAACATTTTTTATAGTGCCATAAGAAAAATATAGACATAAATTATTATGTAAATGTGAAAAACTTTTTAGTGAAGGATACCATGAACAAAATTTAAGAAAATAAAAGGCTGAGAAGAAACATTTGCAACATATAATAGTAATAATAATACAATATACAATAATAATAATAGCAATTATTAAATATGTACTGTGCTATACCAGTCATTGTACTGAACATGCATTTTCTCTTTTAATCCTTACAACAGCCATCTGAAAGTAATGTATAATTACTTCCATTTTACAAACAAGGATATGAGAATAACATAAGGGGCTAATAACCCTAGCAGTGAGAAATCTAAAAATCAGTACAAAAAAAAATTTAGTTGGCAATTCTGAGGAAAAAAACATGAATAGCTGGTAAACATGAAAGTAATACTCAACTTCTCTTATCATCAGGAGAATGAGAGCATAAGAAACAATGGTTACTAATATTGGCATGCTCATACACTACTGAAAATATGAATTGGTACATTTTTAGAGGACCATTTAGCTTCACCTGTTGACATTTGAAATATGCATCTGTAATTTTGTGTACAGATATCCAAAGAAAACGCTCTCTCTTTCCCCCTCCCTCCCGCTCGCTCTCTCTCTCTCTCTCTCTCTCTCTCTCTCTCTGTACATACTTTCTCTGTGTGGGTGTGTCTGTGTATGTGTTTACAATAGAAAACAGTTGGCGATAACCTGATGATCAATAACATAGTGTTAAAATTAATGATGTCTTAGCCATGTAATGAAGTAGCCATTAGGAAAAAAATGAGACTGGAGAAACAGGCAGTTTGGTATGCTACTGATGGAAGACTTAAGTTAGTACATCTTCTTGGAGGGGAGTTTTCAATATAGATCGATACCAAAAGTCCTCAGACAATATTCCTTTTCCCCACGTGTTTGCTGTATTATTTAGAGGATTGAAAAAAAAGTCGTAGAAAAATGTGTGTAATGGAACCATTTGGGCCTGTGTTTTTTAAATACTTTTATGTGCCTAGACAAAGGCTTAGAAAGATGTACACCAAATTATTAACAGTGATTATCAATAGAAAGGAAAGATTTTGATTTTAAAGTTTCACTAGAATTTTATGATACTTTTGTAATCATTTTTTAAAATATTTTTTAAAAGATGCATTAGCTGTAATTGCCAAAAACACCTAGAGAAACTGGCTGAAAAGAAGAAAAATCATTTCTGCTAAGGGTTTCCAAACCAAGTGGATCCAGGTTTTTCCCTCCTGGGCTTAAATTTTACTTTTAAAGATAAAGTGCTCGGTTCTACCTATAGAACTCAGTGGAATTTGAAAGAACTGAACTTTTATGGACCCTGAATGCCAAAGTACAAGACCAGAGTAGCTAGTAAACTCTAAGACAGTTATAATATTCACAAACTCATATCAAAAATTAGGAATAACATTTTACAGCCAGGCTCGGTGGCTCAGTCTGTAATCCCAGCACTTTGGGAGGCTGAGGCGAGTGGATTGCCTGAGCCCGCGGGTTCAAGACCAGCCCAGGCAACTTGGTGAGACCAATAGATAAAAAATTAGCCTATAGTTCCGGCTACTTGGAAGGCTGAGATAGAAGGATCCCTGGAGCCCAGCGGGTAGACTCTGGGGTGGCCGTGAATGTGCCACCGCACTCCAGCCTGGGTGACAGAGTGAGACTCCAACTCAAAAATATATATATATATATTTTACATTGTGAAAGTGCAATAAGAATTTTTGTTGTAGGTTGTGTTGTTGTTGTATATTTGAAACTGTAACCAGATTTATAATAATGAAATCTGTACAATAACTTTGAAAAGGGAGACAGGAGTACATGCTCAGCTCAAAAGGCTGACCAGCACAAAGCACTGATTATAAAATATTGGGCTCCTTATGTCACATGTTCTCATGTTTTAATACTATCTTCTATTAACAATATAAAGTATACTACATTTATGTGAAACATCTAGAAAATTTGTTAACTAAAAATGTAGGATGGGTAAGCCAACTGGAAAAAATTTTATAAATTAGAATGTTAAAATTAGTTTTTAGACAAGAGACAAAGAGGAAGTATTTCTCTCTAGTAGAAGAATATTGCTATATGTTAGGTCTCAAGCAAAGTAACCAAGTTATCCAAGTAAATGTTATGGTCAGAGAGATTTTTTTCATTTATTAAAGAATTGTTGTGGTAAACTGTTTTGGAATTTTTTATATGGAAAAATAATTTTAATTCAATCATATTTAATATACATCATACTACTTGAATATTTGTTACATAAGTTTCCAATCTTCTCAGTGTTAAACACTTAGAAATTTTTGTTTCTTACAGTTGAACTTTTTCTTTTCCAAGTCACCCAGACCTACAGTAATGACCAAAGAAATCTGTCGTTACAGATATGTTTATTAGAGAAAAATTGAGCAGTAATAAAATTTAAGCTCTGTAGTCTATTTTGTGTGTGTGTGTGTGTGTGTGTGTATGGAAAATACCTGTAAGCAGGAGCTATTATATTAAATCACACTTTACAAAACTTACTTTTATATCTAAATAAAATATTTTTACATGGCATTGTCTTAGACTCCATAATAAGAATGATCATAATATAAACACTTTCACTGGGTACTAATTAGATGTCAGGAGTTGTTCTAAATACTTGCCATTCAGTATTTCATCTCATCTTAACAATCCTATGTATAAGTACTCTTATACACAGTTTATAAGTGAGAATGTGAGGCTTATAGGTTAAGTAACTCACTCAAGTTCACATGGCTACTAAATGGCAGAGCCAGAATTTGAATCTTGGTAATCTGACTCCAGAATCTAAGGTCATGGCTACTTTGCCTAGAGAATAGGATTCAAGGGGGAAGACTTCATTGTTATGTGCAGTATGATGCTTCTGTTATCTAAGAGGTACTAGACAATATCTACCCTACCACCTTTCATGGCAGTTGAAATTTTATCATTATAGATTCACTACTTTACGTTTACAAAAGTTAGGGATATCACAGGTTTCCAGTTAAAATGCAAATTATTCCTTGAGAAGTAATACACATCTAAATGGATAATGACAGTGTCTAGGAACTCAGTAATATAATACAAGGTTGATGACTGTGGAATAGCAAAGGAAGAAGGAGAGATCAATTTGGAAACTATGTAAGAGAGAAGTCAACAACTGACTAGCCTACAAAATCAAAGGGTTTTTGCCAAAGGTTGAAAAAGGGCAGCCAACAATTTTTATGATAGTATAATAATCAATAGGATGTGAGGAATTTTTCATACAATTTCACTGTTTACCATCTACCTTCTCTTTTGATTCTAGGAATTACGGCCCAACTGATGCTACACAGTGTCTATATTTTATATTAACTGAATGCCTTTCCTTTGTCATATAGCAATCAGCAGGCCTTTTTACTGGAGAATGTCCCTTGTAATAATGCAAGCTGTGAGGAGGCACAGCGAATGTTTAAAGTTTACTGGGAACTGACGGACCTAAATCAAATCAGGGATGCCATGGTTGCCACCTTCTTTGACATTTACGAAGATGTAAGTTCAGAGCCATCTTATGTTTGGAGTTTAATTGCCATTTACTCATCTAACTTTCGCTTCATCACGTTTGACCAGAAAATGTAGATGACATAACAAAAGCAATTGAGTTAAGTAAGGAAAGCCTCCTTTTTTTTTTTTTTTGAGTTGGCGTCTCACTCCATCTCCCAGGCTGGAGTGCAGTAGCACACTCACAGCCACCCCAGCATCAACCTGTCGGGCTCCGGCGATCCTTCTGCCTCAGCCTTACAAGTAGCCAGAACTACACGTGCATACAACTGCACCTGGCTAATTTATTTTATTTATTTATTTTTTTTTTAATTTTTGTAGCGACAAGTTCTCTCCAAGTTGCCCGGGTTGGTCTCGAACCCGGGAGCTCAGACAGTCCACTCACCTTGGCCTCCCAAAGTGCTAGGATTATAGGCTGAGCCACTGAGCCCAGCCAGAAAGTCTTTTTTAATGTTAATTGGCAGAGGGAACAAATTGACACCATTGGCTGATTGATACAATCAGATATAAAATTCCCTTCTCATTTTGTCCTTATTTGGATTAAACCACTAAAGAATCATGCACTGAGACTGGCAAATCTGCATGGTCAGCAGTAGACAAAGCCACTGTCCAAAGATAACATATTCTGGAATCTGCACAAGATCACAGAAGGGAAGAGTTCAGTACTCACTGTTATCCTTGTGAAGCAAGTAACATCTATTTCCACAGATTCTTGTGACTCTGTCGTTGGTTGCCAGGTGACCTTGTAAAAGACTTTCAGGGTTCTGGCTTTCGCCTTTCTAAAGTGAAGCGTGAGTTTACCACTCGGAAAAATAATAAATTCTGAAAAAAATATGTTAAATTCCAGAATTAGTATACCACAGCCTATCCTTGTAAGATAATTTATTATTAAGAGTTAAATCCCCATTTATGCCATTTTGGTTTTTGTTGTTTTTTTTTTCCTAAAAGGCTTATTCTCAATTATGAATTATTCAGCTCCTTGTTTTTCTCTGTTTCCCCTGCTATCAGATCTCGTTATTTCACTTTTCTTTAGCAATTTTCAAGCATAAAAGTAATTGCAAAAATACCAGGAAGAGGAAAAATCAAGAGAATTGACTACAAGTCAGTTTTTAATTTCTGTACATCAAAAACATCATAAATAAAATTTAAAATAGTTTTTAAATCCAGGAAATAAATTTACTATGAAAGAGTCAAATAACTAATATTCTTAATATAAAAGTGTTCATACACACTGGTAAGTCACCAAAAACTCTGGAGAAGTAGAAACATAGTCACTTTATGGGAAAAACCAAAGTTACACATAGAAAATAATATAATAAATGATCAACCTCATGGAAAGAGTCAGAGGAATGTCAGTTTAAATTAACACACCTTTTTTTTCCTTCAATAAAATTAACAAAGATTCTTCTTTTAGGAAAACCAGATGGTAAAATGCAGTGGTGGCAAGTGCAGATAAAAGGTACTCTTGGGCCAAACAGAGTGGCTCACGCCTGTAATCCTAGCACTTTGAGAGACCAGGGCAGGAGGATTACTTGAAGCCAGGAGTTCGAGACTAGCCTGGGCAACAAAGCAAAACCCCATCTCTACCAAAAATCTAAAAAATTAGCTGGGTGCAGTGACGTGTGCCTATAGTCCTAGCTACTCAGAGGACTAAGGCTGGAGGATCACTTGAGCCCAGAAGTTTGAAGTTGTGATGAGCAGTGATTGAACCACTGCACTCCGGCATGGGTGACAGAATAAGACCCTGCTTCTAAAAGAAATAAAAAGATATTCTCCCTAATGGTTGGAAAGGATCTGGCAGTCCAATTATGGGCCTTCAAAAATTCATGCACATATGACTGGAAGGAAGTATACCAAAATGCTAACAATTATCTCCAGAGACTAAAATTACAGATTTTTTTAATTTATATTTTAATATTCAAAGTTATGCATGTATACTGGGTATATATATATATATATATTTAATAGTGATTTTCTTTTAAACATCTGATTGAGTAAATAAGGTTTACTTTTACATGATAACATGCTATGCATTTTAATTTTTTTTTAAGTTGGTCTAATCTTACTATTTTTGTTTATGCTTTTTCCAGGGAATCTTGGACATTGTAGTACTAAGTAAAGGATATACTAAGAATGATTTTGCCATCCATACACTAAAAAATAACTTTGAAGCAGATGCTTATTTTGTTAAAGTCATTGGTGAGTATTCTAATTATTAATGTTTAATTTCGTGTTCTGTCTCTCTCTCTTTCTCTCTCTCTCTCTCTCTCTCCTTCTCTCTCTCCCTCTCTCTCCCCTTCTCTCTCTCCCTCTCTCTCCCCATCTGCCTGTCTTACCTCTTTCTGTCCAAATTCCAAAGGTCAAGGACATACTCCTGTGTAATTCTCATACAACTCTTTCTCATTCAGGAGATCAGCCTCAGTACATTGCCATCCGATCTATATACATAGACTCCATTCATATTTCACCCACTGTCCCAACAATACTCTTGTCTTTTGGGTTCTGAATTCTGCCCAGAAGTATCTATTGCATTTAATTGTCCCATCTTTTCAAACTTCTTCAATCTGAAACAGTTCCTCAGTCTTTTCCTATGTTTCACGTCCTTATCAGTTTTAAAGAATACAGGCTTTGCATTGTGCAAGGTAACCCTGTTTCCTCATTACCCAACTCAGGTCACGAATTCTTTGCAAAAATTCTACTACAAGGAATTACATAATTGATGCTATTTGTTTCTCAGTGCATCACATCAGCAAGTGCATTATGTTGACCTGTCCCATCACCTGGTCATGTTGTTGATCACCAGATTTCTCCATCTCAAATTCACAGTTTTTCCTTTTGTAATTGATTAGTATTTGGGTGGGAGATATTCTGATATTAGTTTAATATCCTTTCCCTTATCAGACCTCTGCCTACCACGCTTAGAGTTCATAGACAACTCCTACCTGAATCAACCATACATACTTTTCAGGGTTTTTCTATTTCTATCCTTTCTTTTACCTATATGGTAGAACATTCTACTGTTCATTTATGCCTCCCTAACCCCAAGCCTGGAATAAGACATTTCTTTAAGGTGCCCCTTCCTTCTAGTAGAGAATGGTATTTGAAAAACCAAGCTCTGGGTGCTCAGGATGCTCTTTGCTCCTTGGTTATTATTTCTCTCAATGGACAGAGCTGGGAAAGAAAGTACTGGCACAGATTCACATACATACAAATATGCACATGTATAACTGTTTTTATGGTTTTGTTTTTATGTGCTTGCTTTTAGTATATAGAAATGAAATTGATTTTGGTGTGTTGATCTTTTACACTGTGACCTTGCTCAATTCACTTTTTTTTTATACATTCCTTGGGATTTTCTTTGTAGACAACCATGTCATCTGCAAAGAGGGACAGTTTTCTTTTTTCTTTCTAATCTTTAATCTTCCTTTTATTTCTTTTTCTTGTGCTGGCCAGAATTTTAATTACTATGTTGAATAAGAGTGGTGAGATTGAACATACTTGTCTTGTTTCCAATCTTAAGGGGAAAACATTCTTTCATATTAAATATGATATTAGCTATAGGGGTTTTTTTGTAGATGCTCTGAATCATATTTAAAAGTTCCCCCATTCCTAGTTTGCTGAGAGTTTTACCATGAATTGGTGTTGGAAGGTGCTGCTTGTGTGTTACTATGCTTATAGGCAACACTGAAATTGCCATATCAATTTGTTTGTCAACAAAATGGCATATATACTGTGTAGAAATATTACAGTTTTTAAATGAGCATTCAAGATAGGGGGTGTCAGAAAGATGATGGCCGAGCCAGTCAGACTATGCAAGTCCCAGTGTGAGTGAGTGAGTATATGGAAAATTTTGTGTATGTACTGGTGATTGGGTGGTCATGTCAGTAGCTGAATGAGTGAGGGCTAGGGAGCTAGCAGCCAGGGCTCTCCTGGTGTAGCAGCTGGTGCCACAGCTGCTCAGCTTGGACCCCAGCAATTCTCAGGATACAGAAGCCAAGTGCCATTTTTTTTTAAATCAACAAAACCTGTCCTGGGAGAAAATGCTGGGAGAGACTGACTAAGTGGGGGCTTGTGAGCAAGTGGCCAGGGCCCTCCTGGTGAAGCAGCTGGTGCTACAGTTTCTCTGCTTAGTCCCTAGTGCTTCCCAAGTCTCGGAAGCCGACAGCCATTTTTCTTAAGACAAACAAAAGTTTTCCTGTGAAGAAACGGTGGGGAGAGACTACCAGCTTCAGGCTCTGCCTCACCACTGCAGCAGGAGAGACTGCCAACTCCAGGCTTTGCCTCATCACTTCAGCACCAGGCCAGACACTGGCAGCAAGGGCTGCAGAGGGAGCCCAAAGGTAGAGTCCCACCAGAGAAGACAAAAGAGGCCCCCGCCAACATCTTGAAAATGGGGCAGGAAAGTGCTCAACTTGCTCACCATGGAGCAACAGACCCAATCTCTGTGACTCAGGAGTTGATTGTATCCCAGATGGAATATCCTAAAGCACAAACTTCAGAAGGACCTGACAAGTTCTGAGTCTCAGGTGTTCCACCCCCTACCCTGATCCAGCTGAGGGACAAACGGTATGACCAGAAAAAGACAAAGAAGATCTCCAAGGAGATCAGTGTCCTGTTTCAAAATAGAACAAATCTAGAGCCTGAATCAAAGAAGAATAGAGGGCTGGGCAAAACATCAGAAGGGAAAGCTTCTCCCACTGACACTGAATAACAGAACTAAAGAGAAAAGCAAGAGATCTGTTATAAATGAGGAAAAACCAAAGGAAGACCACAGGTCATTTCATGTGTAACAAAGAGAAAAGTGAAAATACAGACCTCGGAACCCAAACAATAGAAGATACCAACAACTGGCCCCAAAATACAATGGGGATTAAGGAATGATGGAAAGAGTGAGTAAGACTCAAGAAAGACAAGAGAACACTGAAATAACTTGTAAGAGAGATTGTGGAAAAGAAAAATTTCATCCAGGAAATAAATAACAAGAAAACAAGCATGGAAAGCAGAATTAATCTAGCCAAAAAAAAAAATCTCAGAACCTGAAGACCAGAACATGGAATTCACTTATCTGTAAAAAACATAGAAAGAAAACTCAGAAAGAAAGAGCAAAGCCTACAAGAAATGTGAGGTTGTATCAAGAGGACAAATCTACACCTAATTGGTATCCCAGAAGAAGAAAAGGAAATGGAGAACACCTTGGAGCAAGTAGTCTAGGATATAATCCAAGAAAACTTTCCCCATCTCACTAGAGATGTGAACAGCCAAACATACAGAGAACAGAGGACCCCCACAAAAAATCAAATGAGAAGACCAAACCCCAGACACATAGTAATTCACATACACAAAGTAGGCACAAAAGAAAAAACCCTAAAGGTGGCAAGAGAGAAAGATCCGACTACCTACTGGGGAAAATCAATCAGAATAGCAACAGACCTATCATCAGAAACACTACAAGGTAGAAGACATTGGAATCCAGTTTTCAAAGTCCTCAAAGATAAACAATTTCAACCAAGAATTTCCTGTCCAGCCAAGCTCAGCCTCATCAGTGATGGAGAATTAAAATCCTTCCCAGACATCCAATCCCTAAGAGTTTATGCAGCTTCCAGACCAGCAATACAGGAGACCCTTAAAAAGGTATTAAGCACAGAAGAAAGAAAATAAAGAATGACCACACACTTCCCAAGAGAACAGCAGAGCACAGAAACGATAGAGAATATATCACAACAAGAAACTTGGAAACACACACATACATCAACCCCAAAGTCAAAAGAAAACAAACAAAGAAAAAACTTTATAAGAACATCATGACAGGGATAAACAATCAGATTTCAATAATCACCCAGAATATGAATGGACTAAATGCTCCACTGAAAAGAAACAAAATGGCAAACTGGATAAGAAACCATAACCCAATTATTTGCTGCATCCAGGAAACTCATCTCACAAGAGGGATGCACACAGACTCAAAGTTAAAGAAAAGAAAACAGGTTTCCAGGCAAATGGATCACAAAAAAAGGCAGGAGTTGTGATTTTAATATCAGACAAAACAACCTTTAAGCTATCAAAAATTTAAAAAGATACAAAAGGATACTACATAATGATAAAAGGTTCAATCCATCAACAAGAAATATCCATCCTAAACATATATGCACCCAACACAAGAGCACCAGCATTTATAAAGCAACTACTAAGTAAACTAAAAAAATATATTGACTCTAACACTATTATAGCAGGGGACTTGAATACCCCACTAACAGCCCTAGATAGATCATCAAGGCAAAAAATCAACAAGCAGATACAGAACCTAAACTTGACACTCAACCAAATGGACTTAATAGATAACTACAGAATATTCCATCCCACAACCACAGAATATATAATTCTACTCATCACCACAAGGAACATACTCCAAGACCAATCACATCCTTGGCCATAAATCAAGCATAAACAAATTCCATAAGGTTGAAATCTTGCCATGTACATTCTCAGACCACAGTGGAATAAAAATAAATATCAACACCAACAAAATTTTCCCAGAGCCCACAAAGACATGGACACTAAACAGCATGATGCTGAACAACTACTGGGTCACACTGAAATGAAAACAGAAATTAAAAGATTCCTGGAAAAAAATGAAAATGGAGAAACATCTTACCAAAACCTCTGGGATACCATGAAATCAGTTGTAAAAGGGAAATTTATATTTCTACAAGCACACATCAAGAAAATGGAAACATCACAAATTGAGAGCCTAACAAATCACTAAGGGAGCTAGAACAAGAAGACCACCACAACCCTAATTTTAGCAGAAGAATCCAAATCACCAAAATAAGAGCCCAATTACGGGACACAGAAGACAAAAATATCATAGAAAACATCAACAAAACAAAGTGCTGGTTCTTTGAAAAACTTAACAAGATTGATGGACCCCTAGCTAGAATCACGAAGTAAAAGAGAGAAAAAGCCCAAATAAACACAATCAGAAATTCAAAAGATCAAATCACAACTGACCCCGAAGAAATACAAAAGATTAACAGAGATTACTATGTACACCTATATGAAAACAAACTTGATAACCTAAATGAAATGGAGGACTTTCTGACATCACACAACCTCTCCAGGTTGAAACAAGAAGACATTGAAGCACTAAATAAACCTATAACCCAGGGAATTGACTCTATCATAAGAAAACTACCTATAAA